CATGCGATGTATGGTGGGGCATGATGTACCATTAAACTAGGTGAGTGGGCATCGCACACTCTGACTTGATATATTGCCTGCGATCTATGGTGGGACATGATGTACCATTAAACCAGGTGAGTGGGCATCACACACTCTGCCTTGATATATTGCCTGCGATGTATGGTGGGGCATGATGTACCATTAAACCAGGTGAGTGGGCATCACACACTCTGCCTTGATATATTGCCTGCGATGTATGGTGGGGCATGATGTACCATTAAACTAGGTGAGTGGGCATCTCACTCTCTGCCTTGATATATTGCCTGCGATGTATGGTGGGACATGATGTACCATTAAACCAGGTGAGTGGGCATCACACACTCTGCCTTGATATATTGCCTGCGATGTATGGTGGGGCATGATGTACCATTAAACGAGGGGAGTGGGCATTACACACTCTGCCTTGATATATTGCCTGCGATGTATGGTGGGGCATGATGTACCATTAAACCAGGTGAGTGGGCATCACACACTCTGCCTTGATATATTGCCTGCGATTTATGGTAGGGCATGGTGTACCATTAAACCAGGTGAGTGGTCATCACACACTCTGCCTTGATGCACTGATTTCTGGCAATCAACACATATTACTATTGCTTAAAGCGGGAGGGTTGTCACCTGCGCACACGCTGAAATTGAGTCACAAGCGACAATAAGAATACACAATAAAAAATGCTAAGGCTCATGGGTAGGCGCTTGTTTGTAAACAATGACACGTTATGGCTATCTGACGCATGTGCACTAAAATTTTCTTTTGATTATTTTGTTGGTAGGGTTGTTTGAATCCTGTAAAAGCTATCATTCCTGAAGGATGTTTGCTGAATCCTTGCGATAAGGCTGCTGTTGTTGGTGGAAACGTATTAACGTCACAAAGAATAGTGGATGTTGTTCTCAAAGCATTCTCTGTTTGTGCAGCCTCACAGGTAATCTACCCAACACTAACAGGGATTTTACAGATTATATTTTTATGTGTGAGGGAAATTTTCGATGTTATCTGCAAATCCTGCCATGGAATTCATTTTCAAAACATATGATACAGTCTTTTGTAATTACACATGTTTCCCTGGTAACAACCATAAATAACCTGTATTACATGTATCATACATAGAATACATAGCACCAAAATAACACAGCACAGGTTTCAGAATGTATCTGTACTCATTTTCCCTTATATTGGCTAAAAGACATCACTAACAATTTAATGCATTCAAGATTATTGATGTCACATTCAAACACTTTGTTTACATTGAAGACAGTATAGGGTTATTATAATAGCAAGTGATGGAAATAGAATCCTATTGTACTGCTGTTGTGTGAACTTTGCGGAACTCTCTGTGCTAACCTCATATTATCAACAAACAAGCTGATCTCTGATTGGTCTAACTGTTAGGTTTGTGGGTTGGGTAGCCAATCAGGCACAATCTTAGATTGATATTGACTCCCATGAGGATGAGCTGAGAATTCAAAATTTGCATTACCACTATTTTCAGGGGTGCATGAACAATGTAACATTTGGTGATCAGAATGTTGGCTACTATGAAACTGTTTCAGGAGGTTCCGGTGCTGTAAGTGGTCAATTTATTATATTTGTTTTCTGTTACTTTATATCTGTAGGGCTGTATGAATGTGATCACTATTGGTGATGCCAATTTCGGGTACTGTGAAACAGTCTCTGGTGGGGCTGGCGCTGTAAGTTATTTTATTGTGTATGAAATCACCAGTGAAAATAATAAAAATCGATCATTTCATTTCAAGTATTTGTAATTTCAGAAATTGAAATTTTGCATTGACATTTTGCACGAAATCACTGTGGCTTTAAATGGTGTCTGCACAATATTGTGTGCAATATTGGTCCATTACATGGTATACAGTCGTAGGGATAGCACCACTATTCTAACATAAGAGTCATGGGTATTATTAGGGACGAAATCCAAATTTTTACTCTTGCAACTTTGCCTTGCAAAAATACCATAATTATTAACAAAACAATTCGGCTGAACGTGATGCTGTCTTCTAAAATGACCGGTTAGTTTATACAAAATTCAAATGTTTGATGCACAATGACCACCATCCTCTGCTACAATATTTTGTCGTTTTCCAGTTGCATCATGGTCTAAATTCAAAATTTAAGGCGTTTAAGACTCATTATAAAATGGGATGGTGAGTTTCATAAAGTGTAGTAAATGGTTTTTAATTATTCATATGTATGTGCATCACATTTATTTGTCCTTTTCTCAGCATTTTAATATATTCTAATTTTTACACAATACATTACTATTTTTGCAGTCAAAGCAGCCATTATATTACACATCATATTTATTGAGTGAAAGCATGATTATGTTAAATCGTGGCAAAATGCACTGTATACCATGTTTAGATGTAAGCCCAAGTAAATCTTACTGTTAACAGCAATTGGCAAAAATAATATTTGACATTACGACTAAAGAACAATTCTTACCTATTTTAAGTTAAAAAGCTAGTTTTACGCACAACACCAAGAAAATGATTTCCATCTGCAATGACGGCTGTGTTGATCTTCAAAACGTAATCTTTTTTTTATATTATGTCATTTAAGACTATTTTAACAAGAAATTCATAAATGCATGAACCTCAAAATGCTGTAATTAATTTGCTCTACTGCTCGTTGTATGTTTGTTCCAGGGACCATTTTTATTTTAACACGGTTGCATGTAGAACGTTTTGAGTTCTGTATCGCATATATATGTACATTGTTTTTCTACAATATAATGGCAATAAACCACCTCCAAATATGGGTATACACGTACTACTTGATTCCATTTCATATACACACTAACGTCACCAGCTTTTTGCATCTTTATACCTAAATATTTTTGTGAATAATTACAAAGACATGTTTATCATATACATCCTATTTACCAATATTAATGTGATTATTAAATATTTGTGGTTATATTTTGATGTCAGGGGCCAACATGGAATGGTCGAAGTGGTGTTCATACTCATATGACAAATACCAGAATTACTGATCCAGAGATTCTAGAACGAAGGTAAAACACAAATAAAGCAAAGAGTCAATATGAAAATTGTTAATTTAATTTATTAATTAGACATTTTGTCATATTTCTTAATTTATGTATTATTAAGTTTATGGTACTAAATGAGTAAAGACATGGTGATATGTTATGGAAAATCAATATTTGGTTGATCAAAAATATATTATTTTCCTGCTGTCTTGGTGCTGTTTGCATATGCGTAACATGGCCATCCCCATTTTTTTTATGTGTTTCATTTTGTACTATTAATGTTATTTGGGCCAGTATTATGTAGAATAAATATGAATGAAAAAATACATTTTTGATGTATGGCTATGAGGGGTGGCGTAGTTGGACTATGATGGGAGGTGTAGTTGGACTATGGGGAGTGGCGTATTTTGACTATGAGGGGTGGTGTAGTTGGACTATGGGGAGTGGCGTATTTGGACTATGATGGGTGGTGTAGTTGGACTATGGGGAGTGGCGTATTTGAACTATGAGGGGTGGTGTAGTTGGACTATCGGGAGTGGCGTATTTGGACTATGAGGGGTGGTGTAGTTGGACTATGAGGGATGGTGTAGTTGGACTATGAAGGGTGGCGTATTTGGACTATGAGGGGTGGCGTAGTTGGACTATGAGGGGTGGTGTAGTTGGACTATGAGGGGTGGCGTAGTTGGACTATGAGGGGTGGCGTAGTTGGACTATGAGGGGTGGCGTAGTTGGACTATGAGGGGTGGCGTAGTTGGACTATGAGGGGTGGTGTAGTTGGACTATCCAATCCTTTGATTTGTAGGTACAAAAATCATTGCCGTGAAACAAAAATATAATACTAATGTAAAACTGGAAATGAATGAATGAACAAGAAATGATAAATGTAAATTCTGTTGATTGGTAGTTTGTCATTGAACTTAGTGTTGTGAGTGTCTCGTCCCATTGTTCAGTCAATCTCCCTGGAATTTTCTACTTTTAGTTTCACCTCCATACTGTCACCATATCCAGTATCTTTCAGATCTGAGATGAAATTTGATAAACTTGATGTCTAAACTATTTCCCCTAAGAATAGGGGAATAATTTGTGTCTATAAGGTTTGACGTAATAGCAATAATTGTAAAGTCAACGATGGGTTCAAAATCAGAAACTGTCAAATCAAAACTATTCTCACAAGGATAATTTTGGTATTTCCATTATATGTTAGGGTGTTATTATTTTAAATAATAATATCAATGAGGTTTATTATTTTTGTGAAACATTCAAATATAAATGAACAGGCATAAGCAACAAGCTTGAAATAATAAAGTGTCTGATAACAACAAAGAATATAACATTGTTTGATAAATGTTTGACTGAATGCTTACAAGGGTTAATAGTTGAACCCATTTTAAACCTTGGTCATTGTTTTGATTAACTGTCACCTATATGCGGTATGCATGGTTTGTAACTTTATTGTGTCTACAACGGACGCTGGTTCATCTAGGAAAGTGTCTTGGGATTTTCCAATGTCTACCTGGTGGAGGGAGTTATGTGTATGTAAATAACTTGCATCTACTGTAACTTATCAATAAAATGCATCAGATTTCAATGAAACTTGAAAAATAGGTGATCTAGTTTATGATTGAAACTGCATATTGTGCCACTTCACATAATTAGCCAATTTTTAGTTGCGCCACTGAAATTCATATTTTAATGGAACTTAGTACTTTGAAGCTTTCCTGTAATAACTGAATTTTAGGCTTGAAATACATGCATGTTAATTACCTTAATTTGCATAAATTAAACAATTTTCTGATAGCTCAAAAAAACATTAAATTTTTATCAGATGTAAGTTAAACTTGTTGCATAGGTGATCTGGGATAAACCACAGACAGAAAACTAGAGATTTATATATTTATATATTTGTCTAATAGTATTATGAACTCTGGGTCACCTTGTCGAGCAATATTAGTCTCCAGAGCAATAATGTAAATGTACCCTATTTCTGTTTCATGTACCTCCAAATACTGTCAGCACACAGGAGTTCAAAGCTTTCTTTGATTGTTATGTTTGATTAAATCAAATTATGATTTATAAAATAGAATATTGTGTTTGCAGAACAGTATTCGTTAGGTAAAAAATCAAAATCACTATAATTATGCATGTGTAGTATGACAGAACCCCACACCCTCCCCGTGGCTTTC